AGCTTATACTGACCCAAAACCCTCGATTGACCTCGCCCCGACATGAAATCAAACCCGGAGATTCTGAGGACCTTGTGTGCGAGGGCGTATCCTCCTGAGTGGTTCCCACATACGCCTTCGTGGATTTCTTTAAGTATGTCTCGGAACTTTTTTCGTCTACATATTTGAGTAAAGGTGCCGAGTAACCCCGTTTGAACAGTTCAACGGCCACGATCCGAAACCGGGCTGCCCGAGTACGAAGCTGCCTGGCCTCTTTTGGGTCAGTCGAAAACATCTTATTGACTAGACGTTGATAGGTGGCCCCAGCGTTCTTCAGTCAAAACGGCATCATGTTGTAACAATAGAGTCTGCGCGATTGTAGCCGGAGTACGCATCCATGAAGCTCATCAGCTCGTGTCCCGAGGTGGCGTCGACCATGTAATCGATGTGGGGCAAGGGGTAGTTGTCCTTGGGGCAAGCCTTGTTAAGGTCGGAAAAGTCGATGCAAAGGCGCCATGCCCCACTGGCCTTTTTTACGAGCACCAGGTTGGCAACCCAGGTCGGATACCGGACTTCTCGAATGTACTAGTTGTCCTTCAGTTTGATCACTTCTTCTTCGAGTGCCTGCTGCCGGTCTAGGCCCATCTTTCTTCGCTTTTTAATCACATTCGCTCCACTTAGGTAGTATTTGGTTTGAGGAATTTGGAAGGGAGGGGAGAGAATGGAGAATTTTAATTTTCACTTGTTTGGTTGCAAAATTAGGAGGAGGGAGAAGAAAATTTTTAGGAAATTTTTCTCCCCTCCCTTACTTTCTCTCCCTCCAATATTAGAGGGATCTAGAGAGGAAGTGTTTTATGATGATGTGAAATGACCATTTAGTTTCTCATTTTAATTTTATTTCTCCTCCCTTTAATTTTTTAACCAAACACATCTACAAAGTCGCAGGACACAAAAAGCTTAGGAGGAAGGAAAAACACACACGTTTAAGTAAATTCAGAGACGGCTACAAATAATGCCATGTTGGCAGATGGGCTGGGGTTTCCATCCGTCGATCGCAGTATTTCAGGTTCAACGGCCAAGATCGATTATTGTGACAAAGCAAAAGCATCTGGGAGGCCTACACGGGGGCCTTTTTCAAGGCTCTTGAGATATAGTTCCCAACAGATGACGAAATTGCGAGAGAAAAG